AACTTGTTTCCCATAAGATTAAGCTAAACCAACCCAATGTTTCGTCTACTGTCTGGCTCACCACCTAGTGGTGCATAACACTAAAGAGCTAGAACTTCTGGCTGCCAGACAATCTTAGGATCTCCTGGCTATTCTACACACAATGCCATGCAATAATTAATTAATTAACCCTGCCTGGTAGTGGTTCTCTGTGAGATCATACTTTCCCAGTCCTGTTACTTGCTATACTCTAAACTACAATAGTCAGATAATGAAGCTAAGGAAAGACTGTACAACCACTATGCTGCACACATTTCTCCAACAAATATGCATACCTGTACGGGATTTGGCTGTTTCTCCACCAGGGGATCATTATACCTGTCCCTCCTAACTTCTATGGCAGGATGGAGGCCACACCCATACTGACACTGGAAACAGGAGTAGGCGTCACAGCCCATATCCATCAGGAATTTCAGCAGAGCAAGGTACTTCATAGAGAACATGACGGTAGCAGGGAAAGTAGTAGGGTGGGAAGAAATATAAGGATTTATATCGGCACCATAATCCAGAAGCAGCTTCATTGTCTTCACACAGCCATGGCGGATGGAAATGAGCAGTGGGCTGATGAGGTCAACATTGGGATTTGCCCCAGCCTCAAGCAGCAGCTCAGTAGCATAGACATTGTTGTTAACAACAGCAAAGTAGAGAACAGAGGTGCGCCGATCCTCATAGAGGCGGGCGCGCTCATCAGAGAGGGTGGAGTTCACGTCAAAGCCGGCATCGATCAGCTCTTCCAAGACATCGTCGCGGTTGCACTCAGCTGCCAAATGCAAAGGGCTGATGCCACTGCGCTTGATCCGAGTGCGGCTGCTGACCGGAAGCAGCATTTTGACAATCCTAGCAGAAAGGAATCAAAGCACAGGCGTGACTTTTAGCTTCCTTTCCTAGCAGAACTACTACTATTGTCATCGCAGCGTCTAAGAGCCGGGAAGACCTTGTCATGTATGGGTTGGCCCTCAGCCCCCTAAACGTCAATCCAGGTTCAAGAATATATTCTGGTCATCAAAAGCCACTGAACTGGCATCTTTATCTAGATCTAGGAACAGAACATCTCCATCAGTGCTCCTTAACAAGCAATCAAGTTATAAAAAAGATAAGTTCACTTTCCACTAACGTTGTACAATTCCATAGAATTTATAATATCTATAGACTTGACCAACAGCAAATAATTTAATACATAGTAAATTATAAAGAGCTCTGATCCGGATGACCCAGGCTACCTTGATCTCATAAAGAACCTGGAAGCGAAGCATGGTCGTCCCTGGTAAGTACTTAGGTGGGAGACCACTGAGGAAGTCCAGGGTTTCTATGGAAAGGCAGACAATGGCAAATAACCTGTGTTTGTCTCTTGCCTTGGAAACCCTATGCAGTCACCATATGTCAGCTACAACTTGATGGCACCTTCCACCACCAAATTATAAAGAAGGCAGCCTCTTTTGCATACAGTGAAGTGCCTTAGCACCAAAAAGAAGCTTAGGAGAAATCTCTGCAGTGCAAAACCAAAGGATTATGCTGTAGAATGTAAACTCTGGCTGGCTCATGAAGCACTGCTCAGTCCTATAGCTGCTTCAAACAGTAACATAAGTTTATTGGGGGGGGGGACTAGACATTCATTCATTCCAACTTGCAACTCCCCATTCCTTGCTCTTCCTGTCTTTCTGTGACTGAGCATATTCCCTTGAAGTGGCAGGCACACTTCCTAAACCAAGAGTCCGCAACATTTTTGAGCCTGCAGGCACGTTTGGAGTTATGGCACATGGAGGCAGGTGCAACCCCTGAATGGTTGCCAGGGGAGCCACACGCAGACTCAGAGAAAGTCCAAATGCAGGGGGAAAGAGGGTAATTTTAAAAGTTCAGTGGGTAAGAAGAATGAAGCAGAATAAAACCAACACTGTGGTGGTAGGTGCCATCAAAGCAACATTATTTTAATCTGTACAGCCAATCAGAAGAGGCCCAACCCACTTCCTGAAAACACTTGGTGGGCACCAGGTAAGGTGTTGGCAGGCACCATGTCACTCAACAGTCATCACATTGGAGAGCCCTGTTCTAAACCCTTTCCTGGCACTGCTACTTGGATTGTGTTAATATCGTATGTGGTCGAACTGCATCGTCACTTTCCACAATGCAGATAGGTGGGAGTCCAGCAAAGCTTAAATGCATGTCACTGCTTTGAGGG